TCGAATGTCTGTTTCATCAGCTTTAGCCAAGTATGCAGATGGATGAAATTCACCTTCTTCCAGTAATCGGCGTCAGCCCATCGTGTTAGTCGTCCTGACTGCCCACTCTGCGCTCTGTATGATTTTCCTGCATTGAGAACGACAAGATCGAGGTCGTTGAACGTCGAGCGGATCTGCTTTGTGACGTCCTTCCAGGCGTCCCGGTTACCAACGTCAATGGTGTAGACCTCTGTTTTCAGCGAGGAGTCGAGAGCAGACAACTCATTTTTGGCCCTTTCCAGATTGGCAGTATCGATATCGAGGAGCGCCAAATGCATGCCTTTGGAGCGACATAGCCTGGCGATGGCGAACCCGACGCCGGATGCTGCGCCGGTGATAAGGGCGGATTTCTGGGGTTGGAAGATGGCGGCCATTGTGCGTTTTGATAAAACCTGACGGAAGAATTCAGGGAGGATAGAGGGTCGCTGAATCTGGTTATATATGTTTCATCTTGTACCCCGCATCGTCATCAACGGAAATAGCGGAGTTAGCCTCGTACCCGTGGAAAGACAATCGTCTGGTACTATATCAGTCTCTCTATCTTAATCGAATTCTCTAGAGGTAATGGGCTCCATACTTGAAGGTGAAGAATGCGCTCCACAGCTCCTGAACAGAAAGGAGCTTCACCCGACACAGGATCAGGGTCTCCCCAGCCAAGCTTCCTTGATCCCGTCCCCTTATTACCCCGGACCAACGGCTGAATTGCAATTGTGGGGAATGGATGCATCAAAATCCTTCATGGATAATTTTTTACGAAGTCCCTCATCCTGCAGGCCGACGCTATTTACCCGTTTAGCCTGTGGATCAATCGGGGGAAAATCCGGGGAACAGGGGTATTCCTTTGACGATGAATCTCTATTTAAAATGCTGCCTCCTCGATCGAGGCCATCCTCGCTAATACGAGAGGGCAAGGTTGGAGTTGGCCGAATCCGATGCTCAACATGGCTACGTTTCTTTCTCGGGCAGTCGCTGCTCTTCTTCTACTCCTCCAATTCAGCTCTGTCTGGTCACTTCCGCTAGACATATCCCTCTCTAGCGGCAATGCGGCTTCAAGTCGAAAATCCCACTGGGTGGATATTTGGACAACCATGCCGCAACTGGTCGAGCCTTACAATCTACCTCCGGCTCCATATGTGAGTTCATCTTTACATGCAATAGCCTCGTCTAATGCGAATAGAACTCGTCGACCTCGGTTTTCAACAATTCCACGATCCGCCAGACGATCCACGTCACGCTCGATGCAGACAGTATCCGTCTGCGGCTCTCAAATGCCTTTGGGGTAAACGATCTGGCAATTACCAGCGTCGCCATTGGCCTTCCACTCGACCAAAAGACAGGAACAAGCGCTCTCCAACCAGGATCAAGCAAGAAAGTCCTCTTCAGCGGCAATGAAGATATTATCATTCCGAATGGAGCACTGGCCGTTTCAGATCCCATTGCCTTCCCCGTTAAAGCGCAGTCGACCCTTCTGATCGATATCTACCTTGCTCAAGGGCAGCAGGGCAACGCCATCACTGGACACCCGGGAAGTAGAACCACCTCCTGGCTATCCTTTGGGAACTGGGTCGGGGCGAAGAATCTGACCGATCCGTCGGTGATGAGCGTGAACCACTGGTAAGGCTCCAACTTTTACACTACGAGACCCAGCTAATGCATCGCAGGTACTTCATCAGCGCCGTCGAAGCGTCTCTATCTCCCTCCGCGCGCAGCTTCGCCATCATCGGCGACAGCATCACGGACGGCAGGGGAAGCGACACCAACGGAAACAATCGGTGCGTTCTCGTTCATGCACCATAGTCCATAATACCTAGCTAATGATTGACCCAGATGGCCCGATCTCCTCCTCGCCCGCATGCAAAAATACAGATCAACCTCCTCCATCGCCCTCCTCAACCAAGCCGCCGGCGGCAACCGCATCCTCGCCGACGGGCTGGGCCCCAACGTCCTCAGCCGGCTGGACCGCGACGTTCTCGCGCACTCGGGCGTGCGCTACGCCATGATCTTCGAGGGGGTCAATGACATCGGCGTGGCAAGCGCTGATCCCGCTGCGCAGAAGCTCATCGGGGATAGGCTGCTGGTTGCGTTTACGCAGATCGCGACAAGGGTGCACGCAGCTGGGATTCCGATCTTCGGGGCGACGATCACGCCGTTTGGGACGCCCGCGGGGTCGAACTATACGCAGCCGTATTCGAGTGATGAGCGTGAGAAGACAAGGCAGAGGGTGAATGAGTTTATTCGGCATAGTGGGGTTTTCGATGCGGTGCTGGATTTTGACAAGGCGCTGAGGGATCCGAGGGCGCCAGGGCAGTTGGCGGAGGAGTTTGATGGGGGGGATCATCTACATCCTAATGTTAAGGGTTATCAGACTCTGGCGGATCGGTTTCCGCTGGAGGTTTTTGATTTGGCTTGACTGGTATTGATCAGGTCGATAGATATCTAAGATCTACGTGATCGTGACCGTTATGGTACAAAGACAGATTCATTGCAATGGCTATCCCATCCCTTGGGCGAAGTAAATACTGGCGCGACGCTGTTATTCAGTGCCAGGTTGATAAGGGTATTGCCTGCTACCGTTAGATATGTCCAGTCCATCGGGGATCGACTCACCATGAGGGTTATAGTTTGGCCACCCATATTTCCGCAATCCATTGTGAGGATCTTTGGCAAAGGCAACCCATGCACCTAGCGATGTTAGTCTGTCATCAAAGTTGTAAACTGGGATTCCCTACCTTGAATGTATTGGCTAGCTTCCACCTCCCGCGGAGTAGAGGGAATACCCAGCGGGGACATATTATAGGTTCCAAACACGATAGGTACTTCGCCTAGCCGCTGTCAGTAATGGCACTCACCTAGGTAGCCTAGATTACTCACCTGAATGGTAGGCCCCAAGCCACGGCACCGGGCTCAGATTGCTCCAATTGCCGTGGTACAGATACCTCCATGCCGGAATCCCTTGTTCAATTTTAAGTCTGTGGCTGTTAGCTCAACCCAAGGAATTTCCAGAAGACGTACAAAGCAGAGTGCTGAACAGGACAGTTGAACGTCGTCTGCGTCGCAGCAAAGATAGCCGTCTCGTTGATCGACGCAGAGCTAAGATTGAAGAACGCCGCGCCTTCGCGCGCATTGTTGCCGATGAGAGCAGGCTGAACATGAACATGTCAGATCTCTCTAAATTTGAGGGAACGATGTACGTACCACCCGCGCGCATTTGCCCTTTTTAGCTCGCGCGGGGTAATCTGCAAACACGGTGACGTTATCTTGCAACGGAGCGAAGTTGTATGAGCCTCTGGATAGCTCGGCGAGGATCTGCCGGAATGGTATCATCTGCATGCAGCGCAGCGTTCCCCTGCCGGATCCGCAGCCCAGGGCGGTCGATAGCTTGTCCCAGTTCTGGTGGGTGGAGTCGGCACTGGTGATTATGTCTGCTGCGCCGGATTCGATGGCGACGGCGTGCACGAGGGGATTGTCTGGGTACTACGCCTGTGAATTGGTTTGACGCAGAACAAAGACAGACTGGAGACTTACCGCGTAGGTATACATGTCCACCGAAGCTGCACCGGCCGACTGCCCGAACAGCATGATTCGAGAGGGATCACCGCCGAATTTCTCGATGTTATCGTGGACCCATTGGACTGCTAGTCTCTGCTCCTGTCAACAATGCTCGTGTAACAAGGAAGTGAGCAAACCTGATCCAGAAGGCCGACATTCTGCTGACCCCAGGGGAGATCGGGAGAATTGGGATACCCGAATACGGTCACGCGGTAGCTACACCATGAGTCGCTGCTCTGCAAATTGGCTCGTCAGGTAGACCTACTTGAACGTCACAACAATGATATCCTCATTATCCTGGACAAGATTGCTCCCATCATAGAACGTAAGTGCCGTACCCCCCTGCACAAACCCCCCTCCGTAGATATACATCATCACCGCCTTCTTCCCCTTGGCCTTCTTATGCTTGGCCGCAGGTGCCCAGACGTTGATGGAAAGACAGTCCTCAGACATGTCTGCCGTGTTCCACGGATTGTACGGCAGCGCGGTCCAGATCGACTCATTCGAGAATGAGAACTGTCCAGGACACGGGGGGCCGAACGACGATGCGTCAAACACACCTTGCATCCTGCCCTTGCGCACGGCGGGTGCGAATCGGCGCTGGCCAACTGGTGGTTCAGCATAGGGGATACCCAGGAATGTCCGGACTGTCTCGGCTGAGTTGTTGTAGAAGCCGTGGACGATACCACTACTTGTTTCTACTTGGAGCTCTGAAATTGATGCTGTAGCCAAGACGGCAGAGCCTAGGAGGTAGGAGGCAAGTATCTTGAGATTCATTGCGCGGTAGGGTTTTGGTTAGAGAACCTTGCGGTAGCGGGAAACGAAGAAAGTCATCATCGCCCGTTTTTCTTCAATTCCTGCCTCTGTGGTGGATAAGGTATTGTGGAGAAATGAATGGATACCCCGCATTCCATGACGAAAGAATCCAAGATATGGAGTAGATTACCTCTCTAGTCTAAATCTATTTACTGGTAGTAGACAGCGGGGAGGCTGGGCAGAAGTGAAGCATCACTCCGTTCCCAAACAGGCAGTAATCGGCAGCCGGGGAGGTCCAGTTCAGCGAGTTTCGGCTGATATCAACTTGCGGGGTTCTTTGGTGGACATGAGCTTGAACTCATCTTTTGCGGCTGATTCGTGGAATATCTGTTCATCTCCTGAATCCTCTTCACAAGCACCATGCTCCTACTCATGTTTGTACCAGGACACGGAGACTATGCGGGGCTTGGGAGATCAATGGCGCTTCGAAGGAATGGAATAGAAGTTTTTGCGTTGTATGCGGTTCACAGGCTACAAAGAGCCTTCCTGATTAATAATAGCTAACATACAAGCTGCAGGCGCAATGAGTTGCCAAGCACGCCTTATTTACAACGACAGAAGTCTAGATGGTATATATCAGACTGGAAGACAACAGCCTACACCCGTCTTCCACGCTTAGCCATTCCCCTCTTCTTCAACGCACTCGACTCTTCCCGTGCAATCGTTGGCCCGGGCCCAAAATCCGGCTTCCCGCCCAACGTCCCAAACTCGTCGCCGATATAGTTGCTGGGCTTGACACCAGCTGCAAATGTCTTGTTCCAGTCGTCCAGAATGCCCTGCACAACCTTAATCCCAGCATTGTAGAGATTCTGCAGTGCAGGCCCAAATGCGCCCTGGTCCGCATACAGCAGATTATCAATCGCTGACTGGCCAGGATACGGCCTCTCAAAGTCGGATGCCGTGCGCATGACGATAATCCGGGAGAAATCCGTGCGGTTGTGGGACGCAGCACGCAGCAGGGCCTCGAGCGTCGCGTTGTCCTCCTGCGCGGTGCTGCAGTACACGCCCGTCCCGTTCGTCAAGACCCGAGTGGTATTGTCGAAGATGTCGTCGAGGATTGTCCCGCTGAAATAGACGTCGGTTGTGGAGACGTCGCATTCCACGACTGACGGGGCCTGGGTGCCGGCTGCATAGATGCCACTGTCAGTGATGTACTTGGCGCGGTAGGCCTTGGCTTTGTCCGAGTCGGCCAGCTGCGCCGTGCGGGCGAAGGAGGCGGCCAGCGAGCGCAGCTCGGCGTTGACTTCGAAGACTTCGGTGCCGTAGATGCTGGCTGGGTACTGGCCCGGGGCCTTAGCTCCCTGGGGGATGTAGGGGGATGTATAGTTCGGACCGAGGTCGCGGATGTCGATCTCGTACTGTAGGGCCACTTGCACGGCGTACCGGGCGAAGGTGACGCCGCCGATGGTGGCGACCTTGGGGTTGATGCCGGCGATGCCTGCGATCAGGAAGTAGGTGTGTGTGAGGTCGAAAAGAGGGGAGAAGGCGATAGAGGAGACGGTGACGGCTGCGTTGATCTCGCCTTCGCCGGTGATGAGCTGGCAGATGCTGTGGTCGGCGGTGCAGTAGACGTCGGGATAGACGGGCGAGGCACCGGGCACTGTGATGTTGTGCTCGAAGAGATCAAACTCGGGGATGTTCCACCATACGGCGGCTTCGGGTTCAAACTGCGCATGTGAGTGGCCGTCGTCCTCACAACCCGGATAGACATACCATAGAGACAATGAAGACCTTGGGCGCGATCTTGTGAGGATGATGCTGGGCTACTGGCGCTGGCTTCGGGGCTGCCGATGCCAGCACGCAGCCAGCGACCAGCAGTCCTGTTGCAATTGACTTGACTAAATGCATTATGTGCTCGTCCACCGGTCTGAATCCTCGTCTTCACTCTTTCGACTGCTCCGAGGACAAACTCCTCACGGCATCCGCCGCGGTTATATAGCTGCAAATTCTGCAGCGAAAATTGCGCGACATGGGTCTTTGATGAATTCCGAGACCAGCACGGTGGATCCGATTCCACAAGCACGATTTTACAGAGGGAGATCTGCAGTGATAACGATACCATTAGTCAACTGGATCCATTCTCGCGTGCTTTTGGGTCGGATCGTCGGCGAAATCACCGCCTAGAGTGTTTATCTTCGTATCAGTCAACTTTTCCATTGGCCTTTTCAAGTTCAACGAGTGGGGAATAACCCGGCACTCGCCGGTATGCGAACAGGATTTATCATGACCGAAGATAGACTAGATACATCATCGACGAGATATCAGACGGCACCTTATCTTGAAGCTTCTTACTTCCGAAAAAATAGTCAACCTATCGTGGCTTCAAGACCGAGGGTGATGACGACTTATTTCGCCATCTTGCACCGGTAGGAGCAAATTGATGCCCATATATGTGCTTATTTCATTTAAAATAGCAAGAGGGCAAGTGCAAATGCCGTATGGTAATAAGTAGTTGTGCTCCATACTTGGATCGGGTCTGTTAATCCTCACCTTGAGTGAATAATAGACCATCTTTAATATCCACACGGCTGTATGAACCTACAGATATATTAAAAGAGAACAGGCAGTAGTTTACACTGATAGAGGAGTCTTGACGTCTACTTCATAAGTACGGAGTATAGATCTGACTAGCCTTCCCTTCCCTTCCCTTCCCTTCCCTTCCTCCCCACGCTCCCCAAACCTGTTCATTATAGCACGAATCTCAATATTACGAGGAGACACCAACACAAACAGCATATCCGATCAACAAATACTGACAATTAGAGCCAATAGCAGGATTCCATTGATACAGCTGCGCAAACGTGATCCCGTACTGCGTCTCAATTGCAGCGCATGAGCCGCCGTCGGGAACAGTATACCAGGCGTTGCAGTTCGATGCCACCCCCGTCTGGGTGGGACTGGATGGCCCACTGGAGGTGGTTGTGGTAGATGTAGATGATGAGGCCGGCCCCTTCACGCAGTATGCGCTGCCCAGCCAGAGAGTCTCACAGTTACTTCCAACTACACTGACGGTTAGAACTGATGCTTTGTCGCAATAGTAGGAGGGAGGGTGCAGAGGGAAACATACTTGACGGATTCCACTCGTACAGTTGGGCAAAGGTAATTCCGAATTCGGTTTCAACCGAGGAACAGCTATCTCCCGACTGGATAGTGTAGAACTGCTGACAGCCCGCCACAGTGCCTGTCCGGGTTGGTCCCATGGACGATGTAGTGGTGGTCGGTGTAATTGTTGTTGGTGTTGTCGTGGTGGTGATCGTCGTGTTGCCTACGCCGATGCATACTGCGCGTTCATCATTTCCTGTGAGATTTGCATAGAGCGCCGTGTCACAGCCGCCCGCCAACCATGGATTCCACGTGGTGAGTTGGGTTAATGTCAGACTAAAATCTTCTACAATCTGATCACATCCGTAATCACCATTCAACCACCCATCGACCTGGGTGAAGCAATTGCAGTTGGATACTGTCCCGGGCTCGATAGTATTGACAGACAGGCAGTTCGAGCTGGGGTCGGCGTCCCCTGGTGCTATTACTGTCATCAGCCATTGATTTTGTTCGTTGTATGATCAAGGCACAGTCCACTCACATGTCTGATTCGCATACCGCTGCACGCAGTAGCTGTATCCCGGTTGTAGCGCACAGGTCGTGAGATTAGACGAAAGGCTCGGATTCCACTCCAGCAGTTGATCAGTGGTCAACTCTGAAATTTCTGCGACCCAAGTGCAACTACTGAGATCGCCGTAATCACTGTAGTTTTGGTACTTATCGCAGCCCTCAATGGTGCCAGGGGCAGTTGGCAGATATACAGGAACATAAAGGTAGCCAGGATCTCCGGTGCTCGTTGGGATTGCAGTATTGACAGAGGGAAAAGAGGCTGTAGGGACGGTGATCGTCGCCCAACCCCCGGTGACCGTGTAACCAGAGTAAGTCGTGATGGCTCCGACTGGTGCGACACAATAAGCTTCGCCAAGTTCCAGGTTGGTACACTTTGCGTCAATCTCCGGGTTCAGGAAGTAGAAATCCGTGAGGGAGATAGAGTTTGCCATCGACACCAAAGCACAGGTGTCATTTTCAGCAACCTAAAAGTCGTAAGTATCAGGGCTTATTCCCGTGTTCTTGGGGAAGTCTGAATGACATACCGTATACCAACTGCCACAATCCGTGTTGGACCCAGTCATTGCATTGGTTGGGACGGGCACAGGAGTAGTAACACTGGTCGTTGGCATACTGCCGTCGCCATCTGAGGTGTGGTTCAGGTATCCTCCAGGTGGGCTAGAGGTCGTGGTCAGCTATTTAGTCTAATGAAGATGAAGATGAAGGTCGAACAGTACCTTATGCAAACCTCGTACCCGATAAAATTCACACCATTCTGACAGAGAGAGTTGAAATTGGGATTCCAAGCAAGAAATTGCGCCAGAGTCACATTAAGCAGGTCACTGACCACAGTATTGCATGTATCCAGTGCTTGCCAGGTATATGTCTCGCACTGTGGCGGAATGCAAAGACTACTGTTCACCATAGTAGCAAAGTTCTGGCAATATATATCCAGGTTATTGTCCGATAATAAGCTATATGTTGACACGTTCAGGGCCTTCGCCACTGAGTTACAGTCATCAGTGGATTGCACGACATAGGAACCAGTGCATGTCGGCGCAGGGGTTGCTGTCACTGTCGCCGAGGGTGTGGTCGCTGTGGTATTGAGCGCATAGGCAGTGGGAGACGTATAGCTATAGCCCGTGGCATTACAACTGGATGTCAATGACGTGTATTTGTCTTCGAGGCCAGCGTCGTAACCAAGGGCGTTTCCCAGTTGCAAGGCTAGACCACCGAGCCAGCAATTCGAGCATAGCTGTGTGTCGTTCATAACGGTTTGGTTTGACCATGTCAGGATCTGTGGATCACAATACTCGCCTGTTGATCCGTCCTTTCTGCATGACACTTGATATGTTAAAAGATAGTTGTCGACGATAAAGGTAGCTACCAACGGGATTAGTCCGGTGAGTCGTGTTCCAGGAAGGAGCGTGGCTAGGGTGTAGTTACCTGGGTATGCCACAGTTTCGTAAACGATGACATCTGTACTGGTGCACACTGCCTGAATGGCTGTCTTTGCGCTTTCAAGCGAAGTATAGCAGTCATCGACACAAAGCTCGCTGACCTGGTCAACATCTAGAATGGCATTGCTGGCTCGACAGTTAATGAGGGCTCTCAAGACATAAATCTAAAGCTATTAGCAGGGCATCGCTTGCTCACCTCTGCGAGACTACCGTTATGAACGGCGGACACGAGACATTGGTGGCCAGGGCAGCTTGACATGATGCGCTGAGCCCTGGATACGCCGTATACATTTGGACTCCAGCCGGTTGCTGCGCGGCTGCCAAGGGGACAATCCCAAGCAGCAGCATAGCAAACTGCCTCATACGGAATCCTGTCATTGTGAATGCATGGAGTGAGCCAGACACCTCGAACTGAACTGACGCATGCCCTGGGGGTGCTATTTAGCAGGAACTTCTCGTGCAGCACCCGGTGAGCGGAGATTGTCCGTCTTCGCAGCATCCTCCAAATTCCGTCGAATGACCACGAGGGATGTCTGTAACCAAGAAAAGAAGGTGGCATCAATAGTTGATCATTTGATATGGAACGGTAGAGAGGGGTTTCCGGGTTAGTATGCCCGAGGGTCTCAGTTGGTATTGCCTAGTACTGCAGGAGTCAGGACCCTGGCAATTTTACAGCCGAGAGTTCCGGGAATCTCAAATATAGTATGATATGCAGGTGTCAATGACCGAAAATGTACCGTCTCAAGGCATGCGGAGCAAGACGACATCTTGGGGAAGCGACTCACCAAAGACATTCAACATACACCCTCATGTAACAGCCTAAAATGCTAAAAGATTGGACACAGAAACCAGTATCTGAGGAAAACTCCCCGGGTACTTTCATAGCATTAGGAGAAGCTGACTGCACCCGAGAGAGCCGCAGCCCTGTCCTCAGTATATCACATGTCATACATCAAACCATCCAGCCAAAAAGGCGTCCAGACAACCATCTCTAGCCAGTAGGGATGATAGCAGTAGGGTCATCACAGCAGGGATACAACATCACACATGAAGAAACTGCAGAATAGTGTGCTCCGTTCTCTGTAAGCCGCATTAGGTTCACAAATTGTGCCAATTAGGTTGGTGCCGATTCAGGTCAAAGTTTCTTAGGCTCTAGGTACCTTGAGTAGTCTGTCTCGGGGAATATGAAATGCTTAGGTTTGCTTATTTGCTTCAGTGGATCTAGCGAGTCAGTGCCAATCGGCAGTCATCAGGGGGTCCGTGCCGTGAGGCTTGGTTGTGCTAAGATCTGAAACGTCCAGGCGAAGTAAGCTACTGTAAGCTTAGCAATATAGAAGGTTATTAGGTAGTAGCGGAACGATTTTATGCGCAACTCAGACACCACTAGTTGGGCGCCTTAATTTCCTTCTTCCACTACGCTAAGGAAATAAATCCCTCATGCTGCTATCAGAGAAGTAAATTGGGGGCCGACTTCGGATTTCGTACTTACACTTGGTAAGCACTATCGGGTTGGGCGAGAGGCTAAGACATACGCTAAGTTATGCCAGCCAGGATCAATTTCAGGGGTTTTTGCAATTGACAATGCTAGTAGATATCTCTCTTTCGGCGGCTGGAAATTATAAACTACCACCGTGATATCGGATATTAACAATGTAACCGGCCCCGTCACCTATCTACTGAGGAGTCAGACGCACTGGATGAAGACGCGTGTATCTAGAAGGCGAGCCAATCGCCGCCTACGACCTGTACGACTGACTTCTCGGACACTCAGTAGGCTAGCCGATGGTGTGGGTTGATCTATTGCACTAAGAGAGAAGGAAAGTAGAATGGCAAAGTATCCTGGCATAGATGGAGTCCCGCTTTTGCCGGCATGAAATGTAGGTATATATGGATTCAGCGAGTCATCTTCCTCAACCCACTACTTGCTCTCTCTTTCTCTTTCACAGACAAACCCCTGGAAACGTGGCCTCGTCCCCCATGGCTAGTGAGCAGCTTCCTTTGCGAAGGAAGGGCCATTGGCTCTCAATCCTCCTTGGAATTCTACTTAGCATCATTCTCTCCGAGGCCAGCACCTATGACACCAGCTGGCAAGTGAGACAACACCTTTCGCACAGAAGGCTTGAGAAACATGGGGCCCTGGAGGACTCGAGCGTAAATCTAAGTCGGCGTGACGATTATGCATGTGGTCCAGGTAACCCGTGTAGGAATGGAGCATGCTGCGGAGCTGGTGGTTATTGCGGATACGGTCCAACATACTGTGGCACTGGCTGTGTCTCTAATTGCAATGCCACAGCCGAGTGCGGCGAATATGCGGCTACACCTGGTCAGTTATGTCCACTGAATACCTGCTGCAGTCAGTATGGATTTGTGAGTATCTGTCTATCTCTCTCATTCGGGTAGATGACTTACCAGGAACCATTCTAGTGCGGCACGACGGAGGACTTCTGCAAGCGTACGTATGACCTATCCATTGTCCATTATCCGCTGATCCATCTTTCAAGCTCCCGCTGACTGGAAGCAGCTGGATGCCAAAGCAACTGTGTGTTGAACCCGAGTCCGCCAGCTGGTGGTGGTGGAACCGGGATGCTCAATAATAGAGTTATTGGATACTATGAATCGTGGAGTGCTCGGAAGAGCTGCCACAAGGTGACCGCCACAGACTTGCCGCTGGACGCTCTTACCCAGTAAGTATACAGTCGCTTCTTCTTCTTCTTTGATTTTATTGTGAGTTGTTCTGGGAGGAAAGCTCTAGCTGACAGACTTGGTCTTGAGTGTAAATTTCGCTTTTGCCTCTATTGATCCATCCACATACCAGGTGGTCACGATGGATTCGTCGACTCCATCAAGTCTATTCAAGGATGCCACAAATCTCAAATCGATCAAGCAGGATCTCTCCGTCTTTGTCAGTATCGGTGGCTGGTGAGTTTGGTGTCGAGATGAACAGGACATGGTACTCACTAGAGATGATAGGACTTTTTCCGACAATGGCACAGCAACCCAGCCCGTATTTGGCGAGATTGCAGCAGATGGATCTTCCCGTCAGACGTTTGCAAATAACGTGGTGCAATTTATGAAGCAATATGGTAAGTACGGTTGTTTATAATTGACCCTCTGCTTGTCTTTCTAACGTTAGGCGCACAGGATTCGACGGTCTTGATATTGATTGGGAGTATCCCGGGGCGCCTGATAGAGGTGGCAAGACTGAAGACACTGCAAACTATGTGTTGCTGCTCAAGACACTGCGCAACACGTTTGATGCGAGCGGAAGTAAGTTTGGTCTGACGTTTACTGCCCCTTCATCATACTGGTATCTCCGTTGGTTTGATCTGCCCAACATGATCAAGTATGCCGATTGGATCAACGTCATGACATACGATCTACATGGTGTTTGGGACGCTTCCAACCCCATTGGCAGTATTATTCAAGGGCACACTAATCTCACAGAGATCAAGCTGGCCATGGAGCTCTTCTGGCGTGTGGATATTCCTCCATCACAGCTTGCCCTTGGCTTTGGTTTCTATGGTCGATCTTTCACGCTTGCGGATTCAAGCTGCAATACCCCTGGATGTCCGTTCAGTGGTGCCTCTTCCCCTGGCCCGTGTTCGGCAACCGGCGGGATGCTCGCCTATTATGAAGTCCAGGATGTCTTGAGTCAGGGGAGTTCCGGCAAGAAACGGGCGGCCATCACCCCAATTCATGATGAAGAGGCGGCTGTCAACTATTTCACATTTGATGGCGACCAGTGGGTCTCATACGATGACGAGGTCACTTTTAAACAAAAAGTAGACTGGGCTGATAGTATTGGGTTCGGAGGTGCGCTGATCTGGGCGTCTGATCTTGGTAAGTTTAGGGTCACCTCTCAGGGCACAACTTCACGGGGCCTGACTGCTGGAAATAGACGATGATAAGTACTCCGCGCATACTGGACTGCTCGGGAGAAGTATTATTTCCACCCCTACCCTCCAGACCATGGACAAAGCGCTATCCAATCCCCAGGCAGTGATAGAGGACCTGTCCAGTTTTACTGGACAGAAATGCTTTGTGTACAGCGGGAGCTGTGTTAATTTGAACGATAACACGGCCATGGCCAATGCCTGTGGCTCGGACTTTACCGTTGTTGGCTGGGACGATGCTGGATGTGGTAAGAAAAGCTGCGTAAGTACTTATCCTTTTGCATGCGCCCAACAATGTTGGAGAGATCTGACCCGATAAACGCACTAGCACTGTGGAAAACCGATCTGTTGCCCTAGGACTAGTGCGCCCAAGAACTGTGAGTGGCGCGGCCAAAACACAGGAAATCCAGGAGCGAGCACGGACTGCAGCGGCCAGTGTCTCCCCGGCGAGATCAACATCAATGGTATCCGTTCCAAATGGGGAGGGGGCTTTGTGAATGATGGCGACACCGACAAATGTGGCCGAGGGGACAAGGTCTTCTGCTGTCCTGACCCAGATTATGCAGAAGTGAATAATGGATGTGCTTATGCAGCATGGTTAGTACCATATCTGCTATTCTTCCTCTCCCATTCTCGTTGCTTCTTTGTCGCACTTATTTGAATATACACTGACCTTTGCAATTCATAGTGGGGCGGATTGTCCCTCGGGAACCAGCTCTATTCTCACCAAGTATGACAATTGTTGGGCCAAAGGGCAGAATTACTGCTGCCCCGATCCCGTTGAGTTGGTAGCATGCCACTGGGTCAGCGGCACTTCCGGACATGACTGTGCCAACGCCGTGTGTAATGCCACGGAGGTTCAGATCGACCGGGCAACGTATGGGGATAAAACATTCGCCTGTGATTGTAAGTGCTTGTCCTCTGTTCCTCGCTGCCTGCCACCTACCACGGTCCGACCCGTATCCCTAACGTGCAACCAGGGGGAAGATCCAAGTCTGCTTGTTGTACAGTCCAAAAGGCACCCCCGCCGCCAGCCACCTGCAGCACTGGTCTTTGTAAACTTTGGCCCGGTTTCTGTCCCGATGATGATGACGACGAGAGCGCCAATAACTGGAGCAAGCGGGACCTGGACCTTGCTCCGGCGGACGTGGCCGACACCTATGACACTCCTTCGGGCCTCGAGAAACGAGGAAATTCTTCCAAAAAGCCAATTCGCGCAGGCGACCTTCTCTTCTACCTGATCTTCAGGGCATATCCTTCCATTGGCAATTTGTACAATGTCGCCAATTCCTACCAGGTTCTCCGCCGGGCTCTGTGGTTGAGGTCGGGCTGGTGCAGCAGTTCCAGTATCCAGGTGGAAGATGTTGGAGCTGGTAAAAAGCCACAGGGTATGACAGGGCTGCAATCAGAGCATCCGTACGACGTGAGAGCCCATCTCCCTCCCTCATTCAAGACAGAGACATAAAGGTTGACAACTCGCGCAGAAACAAATCATGTCTGCGTTTGCTACTGCTGCTTCCACTGGTATTCTGGCCTCAGGGGCAATCGCCCCCCTTGCTCCCCTTCCCGTTGCCTTCTGGCGAGACGTCTGGAACGCTTCCAATACAGCCCTGGGAGCACGGCCTCCCGTTGGAAGCTCGACAGGGGCCCAGCCCAACACGCCCAATGATCGCATCACGGAGGCTCTCGGGTCAACCCGCTATCCGTACCCGTTCCTGGCTACCGACGCCGAAATCAATGGGGCTAAGGGGCGGGTCATGGGCTTGAACTCTGCCACTGATCTCGACCGCGTTGCGGATCTGGCTGCCAATGCAGTAAATTTGGATACCGACGATGCAGCAGACGCGTTGCTCTCATCCATCCGCATTGTAAGTCGCCCGAATCCTGTGGACCAAAAACTCTCACTAAAATATTAGTGGTTCTCTGTCTTTGAATATTACCGATTCGGCGCGGTGAGAATGCGATTCAACATTGTCTTCAACCAGGTCGATCGCCAAATGTCCTTTGTCGAGCAGGACACGTCCATCACCAACCTCGTATCCTGGTGGCATCTGTTCAATGACGACTATATGCGCCACGTGGAGCGTCTAGCACAACAGCGGGTTCGCATGGCCATTAATAGCGCACTCGAGCCCTACGTCCAAGCGCGCGCGGCCGGCCGGAATCTACAGACCTATGATCGTGTTGTGACGGCGCTGAGGTATTTTGAGAGCCAAATTGTTTGGATGACTATACCGCCGTTTTATATGGTTCCAGATGTTGACAAGTATTCCAACTCATCGTGAGTGAGAGTGAGCAGGATGAGGACTACAGACGGACTGTCGATGGCCGTATCTCAATCATCCAATAAAGACGTATATATGAATATATGAATATATAGTCAGACACAGAGAAGTTAATGAAATGACAGCCCTAGGTTCAACATTGTCATAACTACCTCATATCATGGTCTGCGCCAAGGAAAAAAGGAATAAACACAAACAAATTGAAGTCACATGATTAGGTGTGTATCTTACCGTAACTTACCAGTACTGAACCAGGTGATACAGAGTCCTTACTATCCGCAACATGTTCATCCCCCCCTCCCCACCAGCCTTCTGATTAAAGGGCCCCTCCTCCTACGCTCCCTGCGGTCTCCCCGTAAAAAAGCCTTAAAATATAATGCCATTACTCTAGTACAGCTAAAATATTCACAACAACCTCTGGCATAGTAAGATGCTAGTGCACATAACCCATTGCACTAAGAGATTACTTCGAGTTCCTCAAAGGCCCGTCTGCCTCCGCCTTACATCATCAGCTTCAGCTTCATTCTCACAATCTCTGGTGCCTCAGCAGATCCAACGGATATGCTATAGTCTTCCATCGAAGACAAGAGGAACCCACCCAATCACAAAAAGGACGATGAGTTCTGCTCCAGCGGAAATGTCACAAAGTCTCAGACCAACCTACGCAGCGACGGACATCAGGGAGGCACTTCAGCAAGACGGTCATCGCATCTGGGGATTCGTCGTCTACCGCTGCACCTATCAAAGCGATTCTGACTGGGATGAATTCATGAAACGTCTACGCTGGTGCACTCGACGGAGCCTAGAGTTTTACCAGGGGCTTGACCTGATGGATAGCCTCGGCCTCACTGTCTTGGAGGACCGGTCTCGTTTCGAGGGAGCCAGCACGTCAACCGTCCGCGACCATTTCAGACAATGGGCTGAAACTGCTGTCGAGGCAGAGCAAGGCGCGGGTGGCCGCGCACGCGACTCCCAGCGATACCGGTACTGCATCCAGGTGGATGAAGAGGCATTAGACTCGGTCGTTCACAGGGCCCCGGCACCCTGGGGCGAGATTCACGTTAACAATGTGGGCTATGTCAACCTTATTAGCAAGGAGTGGGAGCCGTATGACCCGGTTGAATATGAAGATGAGAATGAGATCGTCGAAGAACCGCCTGAGGAGCCGATCGAGGGCTGTACGCTTCATGATGTGGGCTGGATGAAGGTTCTATATGACAGGGTCATGGTGAGCAAGTATAATTACCTGCGCAATGGCATGGCATGGGAGTATGAGTATCGTCGTCCTCCTCAGCTCTCGCTCCGTTAATGCGACCATATCTGTATCAATCTTGACTCATGTACTTATCGATCGACCCCTAGTTCTATTCTTTGTGTCTGTTGATTCGCTCTCGAAGCCTTATTCAAGGATAGGCCGAATATACCAAACATTGGAATACAGCGTCAGGAAAACTGTGCTCCCTCCTGATATCCTTCCATGTTAATTTCCAGTAGCAACTGTTCTTATATGTGGCATCTGTGCTCTTGTCCGTTATAAGAGGGGATATGACGGTTTGCCTCGGGAAGTAAGTAATTTGAGGGTGAAGCAATGTGCTATTTGTATTCTTCACTAAAAGGAATTACAGACAGAACCATGACGTGACTTCGTTCCTCTCCTATTTGTGTGAGTGATTTTGTCAATTTCTCGTTGTCCTGGTGAAGAAAGTGCCCGAGATGAATGTTACTGTCATAACACGAATAAATATGGTTTAAACTACTCTGTATAATCCGGTGACACAAAATATTCAGTAAGAGATCGCCTACAAGCTTGATTATTTTCATTAATTTAATATGCTGAAGCTTCAATACACAGTTAGCCGTGTGAATGGCCTGAAGTGGTTGTACGCGACTCCATCATTGTCCCTGAGTTAGGGACGCACGCCAATCCTATAGTGATTAGAGATGATCTTGCTCCGTTAGGCTCGGCTTCCAATCCCATCCTGATCTATGTTGACGAGGGGTAGTGCTGTGATCAGCAAGACTAACTTGGTTCCGATGCTTACTGAGATCATGGCTACACCGGAATTTTGGGGGACGTTAACCAGTGGATACTTCGCCATCCTAGTGAAAGATGATACAGCTATCAATTCGTCCTGTGTCCGTGTGCCAACCAGATCGCTAGTCTATGAGGATCCGGAAGGCCTTCAGCCGTTCAAGCAGTTAACCCCGAAGTGTCTTCAGTTGGATGACAAAGCATTAAAAGTGACTGAGCATTCATTTAATGTGTCGCTAAAGTGTCCCCTTTTTGGAGCTGCAAGGAGGGAGAACATTATTAAGTATAGAGGTACGCTTAGCTAATTACTATTGAAGACTATTATGCTAAATATTAGTAGGAAGTGAGCAAAGCATGGAGTAAGGCAAAGCCTCAAAGATAGAGGAATCTAAGGAGGCTCACAGGGTGCCTAATACTTCTTTAATGACGCACAATGCTGTCCTACAAGAAATATCAATCCAAACTCATACTTCCTTTGGGAATGGCCTGTCATGTGACTCCTATGATATAGGAACAAAAACAAAACGCAGATTATCGCATAAAACAGATTCTTCCATATCAACTACTATTGGCGATGAACTAGCTGCGTTCTACAATTATATGGACCACTGTCGAAATGCCGATTGCCTACACACTGAAGCTTTTTATGATAGGATTCAGTCCCCTTGTAAGTTATTCCGTGCTATCCACCTCTAATCTGGTCACTGAGACTTTGATTTTACAGGAAACACGCTGCCAAGCAACTCAAATACGTCCAAATTGCTACAGAGACGAAGCGAGGGACGCTGTGTGACCATGCAATTATATGTCCCAGAATTCCAGAAGGGGGCTACATAGCCAATAGAATTTTTAACCAAGTGATCATCCGAACGGCCTTCTTTTCACCACATATACCCTGTAACCTAGAGGTTGCAAGCAAGATGATGTCCTCTTCAGACGAGTTGCTGTGCTCATCCCACCGAAAGGAGAAGACCAAAAGTTCTTCCTCACCTTCTCTCCTAAAGTTCTCTAGGACGATCATGGTACTAATGTTCCTGCACCTAGAAAACTGTCAGATGGTATTGTGATAATTGAATCGGTCGTTCCAGAATAGAAAAAGTGAGCCAATTGGCGACACAGCTTCATCGGCCGAATTTCTATTGAACTTTATAAAAGATGGCCCCCTTTAGCCTCAGATTATAAGGAACGAGAAGACTTCTTTGGAGGTGTTGCCCTGAGCATTTACTCGGATGGGGTAGACCCAAAATACTTCCTCTCCTTCTCTTCTAGACTATCTTCAGCCGACCATAAGCCTTATTCGCCTGCACCTGGTAACAGCGTACGTGAATCTTCGATGACTAGCGACACTATTACTCAGGAAACAACAGATCAAGCTAGTACTTCCGATAGAAAGGACCTGCCTTGTGGCCCCTAAGCTGCAGCATTAACGAAACGCAAATTATCGCATGCGGAAGGCGTCTATTCTGAACTCCGACGATCAGAGCGACTGGCCAAAAGAGCTCGAACTTAACAGTGACGATTGCTCTTCTTCATGTATTTATTCTTTTACTTCAGTGTTAGCAAATACGGACATTAGAGCATTATTTCGAAAATCCAAAGAGTTGAATCAGCAAGCCAAAACTATATCCCCAAGATTGATGTAAACGAGGACCAGTAAATTTCGACATGTGGTCAAGAAAGCTATGCTTGGATTTACTTGACAATAGTGCAGTTAGCACACATGTCGTGTTTGCATACAGAACACGTTAGTTGCACACTATACACCGTCGGGCCAGCATGCATTCACACTGAACCATCAGTATATTTCTCAGTGCAGGGGTGTAGTGGCTTACACAGAGATATTTCACTTAAGACATTGTACTATAAGTCGGACCTTGCCATTCTGTACATTCCCTATGCTGGGATTTCTCATATATTGGCGGGTCTGCCTCATTATCCGCACTTTTCAATATACTAGACGTTTATAAGTGCCTGATACAAGAATTTAAAGCCCACCTACACAGTACCACTCTGTCCCAGATTAGGCATCAAGACGAAGGGGAAATACGCCAGTCGAAGAGAGAGCCATGTTCAAATAAGGTTCAGTATTGAAGTCGATGATAAATGATAAGGCTGAACCCAGAAATAGTCCAGAGCATAGCCATATGAATATCCGTTCATTAGTGGGAGACTGGGTTTGCTATCCGTTCTATTACTCATATTCTCGGCCGTTCAAATTCAACCCTACAATAACCATGTAAAGCCGAATTGTCTCCTGGCAGCAAACAACATAGGAAGCGCTGTTCGCCGTACAAGGCAAGGCACCTACCCTACTTTCTTGGGGCGCAACTGCAGCAGCGCCTCCGGGCAAGGCTCACACTAGAGGCTAGCTGTGGTGGATCCTTCACGGGCTAGGCGAATAGGGCCTCCCCTTGTTACCTACTTCGCGACTGAAAGGTGGTTGCTCCCTTTCTAGCATCAGACTGTCCTCCGAGTCAGCCCTATCTGTTGCCCAATAATAACCGGCTTCTTTGAATTATTTGTTTTGTCTATCCGCCTTAGCCTGGCGCTGTCGAGGGTGAGGATCCTTCGAGCTAGCGCGATGACCGCACAGGCCGCTCAGGCAGGGGTTGGTGACGTATCACTAGACGTGATGATCGAATGTCTATCCTATCCTTTTCTATGCTGGCCCGGCGTTGCTACAAATCCAATTAGGTCCTTGCCAGGGTGCCTATCTAGCTTACCGCTGTGCTCACAGCCACCTCGACATGCATTCTTGACGGACCAATCTGCTCAAGAGACAAAGTACGATAGCATATGACCTCCATACACAGAGGCTCGACGCCAACTTTCTCTGATCCATCCTGGCCCCAGACCTAGGAAATAGGTTTGCTACAGTTCCCAACCTACGCTACAATAGGTCTTTCGGAGAGCAAGTTGATTAGCTAGGCACTAGAAGCAGCATGTCGAGATGCTGAGACTGATAGAAAGGACGATATAATTAATGTGCTCTCAAAAATTGAGGTTTGTCTTCAAAAGAACGTGACGAGGTAAAACAGAAGTAACATATTTCAGTTTATGAACTCGGCCCGACAGTTGTGGGCCTTGAATCCAATAGACGCCAGAAGAAGATTAGCCATCCCCCTCAAAAAGGCACCAGGAGCTTGCTACCGTGCTACACCACCCCACTAATATAGTAATCTTAACACGGTCCGATCTACATGAGTAAGTTATGATCTTTGCTCCAGATTGGAATCTTTTATGACCAGGAGTAAATCTTTCCCTATTATTAACAGTGTTACTTTCCCGAGAGTCTCTTGGGTATTAATAGAACCCATTTCCCTCTTCTTCCCCCCAAGCAATACAATCACCGCAAATCCCTCTCACTTCTTATATATTGAGCTACTGGAGAATTGAGCAAACCACACGCCTCTCCTTATACCACTCTCTTCGTACCTTCCATCATGTCAGATGATAGCAAGGATTATGCGGACACGATGGGCCGGAAAATGTCTTTCGGCACCTTCCTCTTCGTCCCTCAACGGTTTTCCGCTGATAAATAGAAGCCCTCTGCTACCACCTACCTGTAAAGCCCGGTCTCTACCTAGATAAGATGGCTGTTTTCCTTTTGGGATTAATTCCAGGCCCTACTTATGACCCGCAGTGGTATATAAACCACCACACACTAGACTAGGTTCGGATTTGTATTATAGTCTAGTAAGGGGTCGGCGCAAATAATTAATAATGGTGATGATGACTGTATAGAGTAACTCATATAGAATAAAGGAATTCTCTAAGATAACCACACTGCCATATTTCTCGTTTTAACTAAATTCAGAGTCTGATATTGCTTCTTGTGCCTTTTCTCTAACGGCGATCGCCGCTTCTTCGCCCATTGCTGAGATTACAGTAATAATTACTGTGGTCCCAGTTTGTTCATAATCGTTAATCCTATCCCCGAGCTCGCCTGATGGAAGACGAACATCGTTCTTTTCACCACCATCAGAATCGATTAAATAAAGCATTCCGTCGTCGGTATATGACTGGAATGGAAAACCTGTAATCAATTATGTGGTTTATAAACGAGTGAGAGTTTAGCAAACATACAAAGTCATATTCAGTTCGCAAGATCTGGGGAACGTCCATACTTGCATCTTGTGCCACTGTGGCTTCGAGCTTGTCGCCCGTGAAGATATCTCGTGCCACAATGTGGCACTTATTACGTGACGCTGAGTTTTGGATTATTTTGCACGGACGGTTATGGATTACCACATATCCGTTCTGTCGGAGATTAGAGGCCAGTATAGGGAATGTGGACATATTTCTTTTGAAGAAGTTAGAGGATAGTTTGGAAATGGGGATATAGAATAGGTCAATAAAAGTCTGTAGAAGGTGCAAGAGGTGGCGCAAAGGGTAGGATAAGGAGCAACGTTAGCCTTATGGGAACCCGAGATTATATAGTCACCTGGATTTCCAGTTATTAACCATTTCAGTATTCTGCTACGCTCGTGATGCAGATCTGCACTGTGTTAGACCTCACCAAGTTGAGGGGTGGCAGCTAACAGATGGGCCGGCGAGGGCCAACCGTTCCGTTTAGATTCTGATTCGTTCTTAGGATGTGGAGCCTTCGGCTCTACGCTGCTCTCATATACATATCCTCAAGGAATAGACAGGCTGGAATAGCTACGTCTGGACGCACTATGACAATATGTACTCTTCATACAATTTCTTTAAGGCATTCTCTGCATCTCTATAAGAACACTATCAATTATCAGTGCCTACACCAGGTCACCTCACTGCTCAGTTTCGACGTAGTTTTTTCTAGGGCGGGGGGGTAGGTGGAGCAGCGAAGCTAGTACGCTTATCCATCCGCCAACGATCAGCTCCCTGTGCTGGTTACTTATTTGTCTCATCCCACGAACGCCCCGCAGTTAAGCTCACCTTCTTTGTAGCTTCGATTTTGGCACCTACTCCTTCCATTTACCCCCACTCGAACCTCAGGGACATACTGCGTAGACTCAATGTAACCAGCTTAATCTTCACTACCTATAGCCATATATAGACAGCGTTGAGCTATAGCCGACGTTCCGTCACATAGAGAGAAGACGGCAACATCCCTACCCAGCAGAAAGCGTGAAGTGAGAGGGACAGAGCGCAGATCAAGCATGACTACATCAGCTGAAATGCTAAATCGATCGATTATTGAAAGTCCCAGGTGCCAATATAATCTTCGTTGTACAGACTTCTTGTCACGAACGGCCACCAGCCTACAATTTACGACGAGAGAGAGGGTTGCCAAGAAACAAGAATTCCAAAGCTGAGGAGGAAAGAGAAGAGGAAGAAGGAATATTAGGAGAGATGAGGCCTTTCATTTACCTTATGCTCTCAAACAAAACAAATGTCATCCCAGCGCTTCTCCTCCTCACGCGTTCCTTCCCAATCCACGTCTACGCTGCTCGACATCAACATCCTATCCATGCGGGATGTCACAAATAGAATTGGAGGCTGAGTTTTAGCATTGGCTTGCTTTGTACACTGTTGGCTAATCATTTATCGCCCGCTAAATCAAATATATACTAATTCATGCTCCCTAGTAACTAGTAGTTGTCGGATGACTGTATTTCTGACTTTAAATAGAGGGAGAAGAACATAATATCAGATTGAAATGGTAAACTAGCACATGTCAGTCTTTACCGATCATTTGAGCCTATAGCTGTCGGCTTTATGCTTGGAGGTGATAATGTGTTTTCCTAGGACCGTTGACCACTAGTAATACGATTCCATGATTCCAGACAAAAGGTCTTTAATGTAGCAAAACACTAGGGAACTTAATAGCAATGTAGATTTGCACGGCTAGGGAGTCGAGTAGCGTTATTGACTAGGCAACTAGAACAGAAGAAAGCGTCTGTAAGGCAAAGACCTATATCAATAACATATTAGAGACACAGTAGGTCTTTGCCAAACCCCAGCTACATTCACATTTAGCATCATTTTGGTGACGATAAACAAGGAGGGTTAAACCGATCTGCTGTAAAGGAAGATATTGTAGCGGTCTGCTTAGTGCAACATGTAATATGGAAGTTATCCTCTATCTTGAAATTATTCTAGTGTGTGTTTCTGTCGGCGTCAAATTCAAAGAAGATTGCATTTGTGGATATACAGCGACAAGTCCAGCTAAATTTACTCCACGCAGCGGTTAAAGCTGGCTGTGCACGCTTTGCGCCATCACAATGGGGATTTGGGCCGACCGGATTGGAAGCAGTCAGCGCCACAAAAGGAGCAGTTGAAGGCGTGTGGGAAGAATGCATGAGATTTCAAGATAAAATCGAATGTACCAGGTTTAACCACGGCTCGTACATGAATTATTTGGGACATGGAATCTTCCTAACCCTGAGCCACGGCTGCCGGAGGACAAGCAGCTTATCAGGCTGCAGGAAGGTGGCGGGTATGCAAAAGGTGAAGATGAGGCATATCAGGGCCTTCACCAGCAAGGAGATATGAAGGATGGCTCCGGGGCATTTCTCATATCGCTCAAGAATAGCATCGCTGAATTACCTCAGAGGGATGACGGCAAATGGCCCCGGATTACCTTGACTACCATGAGGGATGTGGGTCGCTTCGTCGCATATTCTTTAGAGCTTCCCAGGTGGGAACCAGCATGACCATGGTCGGTGAAACTCTCACCATGGGTGAACTTCTTGCACATGCGGAGGCGGTAGCGAAACGCAAGCTTGATGTGACGGCTGTGAATTCGGAGGACCTTAAAAGAAAGCTAAAAAGTGTCTCTTCTGATGATTTTATGGCTTGGCTATGGGTTGAACTTAAACTCGCATACTGCAGAGACCGGCTAGACGAAGGGTACCTGGAACCAGTTGTTAATAGGCTGTGCCCGGAGGTGAAACCTACGTCGGTGAAGGAGTACTTGCAGAGCCACTGGATGGATGCGGATTAAAACCAATTGGAGCGCATCCAAACGTCGATTGGCTATGATATTGGTCTAAACTTCTAATGTGCTTCTCTGCTATTTTTGTATCCATGCGCTGTTTCTTTGTCTGGGTAGTAAAATATTCGGATAACTGGCATTGAAATGCAGCAATAGCTCGCCACAGTTATACCTCGAACAGAATCTTTCTATTCGACCGTGTTATTGTGCGAGAAGGGTCTTGCTTGCGTGCCAATCAAAGTCTAAGGGGCAGAAGGTAGCTATGCCTTACGAGGTCGTTGTCTAGGTCGCCTAAGTTGCATTATTTGCGTGGGATGGCTCCAGTAGCGGAAGCACGGATCTGCAGTGCCGTGGACTATACGTTTCGCCAGATGTTGACTGTCCGATCGTAATTAGAACTAATATACTAAATTTGGTATGCAGATAGACATCGATTTGTGGGCAATGTGTGCTTCAGTTACACTAGTGCTTGGAACATATTGATGGCCCAGCCTTTATTGAAGGACGCCCAGTAGACGTATGCCTAATTAGAGACAATAGAAATAGTGTTCACAGGCTGGTATGACCGTCAATAGGGCTTCGTGTACGATGCTTCGGAGGATACGAACCTGTTCTGATCATATCGACCAACTGGGATTCATCCAAGCGACCAGGCTCTACACCAACACGCAGCGCGGAAAGACCCATGCTTTTGAATCCAAAGACCACGCACAATCATGGTCTTTCCGCCGTCACCGACACTTACTCCGTAGTGCTGGACGAGTTTCTCCACAAGTTGGATGATGGCATACCAAGCGCAGAATACTTCCCGCCTTTAGCTCTCTTTTCTTGCAAACAACACAGTTTGTTCATCAATTATTCTGCTGGAGCTCGGCTTTAATCCGAAGTCGCCGTTAGTCTCGGTCATTAAGCCCTACAACCTCCAGATCTACGGCTTTCAATTGGCGCAATATCTCTACTTCAAATTCATCACTTGACAATCATTCCTTGTAATTAATCCGGCACACTCCCTTATCAGATGAGTCCTGATCCCCAGTCTTTCTGAATCCGGGGTTATCCCTCACATGCAGGAATCCTGCAATATGTGTGCGACGATGTGATGTGATGAAGAGCTGCCCTGGAGCTATTCCTCTGTCCACCAATCGGAGCGACTTTCCCCTGATTCTTATATTGCTTTCTTCATCAGTGCAAGGCTTTAGTATGCTTGTGGCTGAATTGTCTGCGTAATCCTGTGGGGTGCTGAATCTCCACCGGGCAGAGGCTTGGTAGCATGACTCAAGTATATAAACATGTCGAAGGAAGTTGCTTGGGGTAAGGTAGACTGAATTTGCTCAAGGCAAAGATGAAGTACCAGAATCTCCTTACCATTGTGGCAAGCTGCATCGGCAGCACCAGCGCCGTCAGTGTCTCCGGCGCTGCGGAGGGTTTCGCCAAGGGCGTCACTGGTGGTGGGAGTGCAGCGGCCGTCTATCCCAGTACAACTGCCGAGCTTGTGTCTTATCTTGGGGACAGTCAGGCTCGTGTGATCGTGTTGACCAAGACGTACGCATTCATGCGTGTACCCTTGTTGTAGGGAATACTGACTGTTGACCAGGTTCGACTTCACCGGCACCGAAGGCACGACGACAGCGACTGGCTGTGCGCCTTGGGGAACTGCCTCTGCATGCCAGTTGGCAATCAACCAGAATAATTGGTGTACCAACTACGAACCTAATGCCCCCTCGGTATCCGTCACCTAGTGAGTAGTGGCTGAGTTTCTGACATGACCATAACTAATGGCTGCAGTGACAATGCCGGAGTCCTAGGTATCACCGTCAAGTCTAACAAGTCACTTATTGGATCTGGGTCCAGTGGTGTGATCAAGGGTAAAGGTCTGCGAATTGTCAGCGGTGCAAGCAACATTATCATCCAGTAATTTTACCAGTAGTTTGTGGTCAAACAAGCATAACTGACACGTACAGAAACATCGCCATCACTGATATCAACCCCAAGTATGTCTGGGGAGGAGACGCGATCACCATTAACAACGCCGACGTGGTTTGGATTGATCACGTTACGGTCAGTCCCCAAAATCCAATGTCATCTGGCTCATTCTGATTCATGGTAGACTGCGCGAGTTGGCCGCCAGCATCTCGTTCTCGGCACCAGCGCTTCGAACCGGGTGACCATTTCCAACAACTACTTCAACGGAGTGACCAGTTATTCCGCTACCTGCAACGGCTACACCTACTGGGGCATCTACCTGGACGGGTCCAACGATCTGGTCACTATGAAAGGCAACTATATCTACCATTTCAGCGGCCGCAGTCCCAAAGTCCAGGGCAACACCCTTCTCCACGCCGTGAGTCCCCTCCTCACTTTGGAAGCTCAAACTAACCTCCCAGGTCAACAACTACTGGTACGACTCCAGCGGACACGCCTTCGAAATCGGATCCGGCGGCTACGTCCTGGCCGAGGGCAACGTCTTCCAGAACATTAATACCATTGTTGAGAGCCCCGTTGATGGTCAGCTGTTTACCTCGCCCGATGCCACCACGAACAAGGTCTGCTCGACCTACCTGGGACACGTGTGCCAGGTCAATGGATTCGGGAGCTCGGGGACCTTCAGCCAGGCCGATACGGGTTTCCTGGCCAACTTTAAAGGCAAGAATATCGCCTCTGCGTCGGCGTATACTGTGGCTCAGAGTAGCGTTCCTGCGAATGCGGGACAGGGTAAGATTTAGTTAGGGGGTGCAGTGTTGGAAGGAGGAGATGAAGAGGAGGCAGACTGGAGAGCTGCACTTTGGTTATGTGGCTGTGACCTAAAGCTATATCATGTTTAATGCTCTTCGGTCGAGAAACCATTCATAAGTCGTACAAGTAGTTGAACTAGGCACACTACCCGCAATGCCTCTAACTCGCCTGACGCTCGTAGCGGCGAGAAGGAGTGAAGTTTGGTAAGCAACGAATCAGGAATTCCTGAATTATCGAGCCACAATGGGACGTGTCAGGCGAATGACTTGACCAAGACAGTTTCACTTGCAAAATGGCAAAGTCATTTTAACTGTAGACGCCGGAAAGATTGGCGATAATTTCCCTCCTCTTGACGTTATCGGCGATAAGATAACGTTATCCACGGCGGGGTACTCTGGTTTTCATGATTGACTTGACCAAAGCTAGATGCCTCTATTGTGGTCGCAAAGAGCTGGTCTTCGGCAGGCCATCTAGAAATATTCGAGGAGCATTACCTCTAGATCTTATCAAGATCTGGGAGTCAGCCTGACAGCTCATCCACTGGGTAAATGCTTGGCTCAATAGAGTAATGACGGCGTGTCCCACCAGGACACCACTGGGCAGCCGAGATGACGCATGTGGAGCACCAATTCTGACATAGTGATTGACTGCTGACGATGGCAGATCCGACTCGATCGCAGCGAATCTTTTTCTATCTGGCGCACTAGAGACAAGAAAGCGAGATGACACCACGTCATGCACGTGGGGAGAAGCCACATGACGTCACTCCTTGTCTCCCACTCCCTTTTTATATCCATGGAAACGTCCAAACGGTGAATTGAATGACAGTTTTCAGGAACAATAACCATACTTAACGGCATCCAACTTAGGTGGTCGACGTGAAACCCGACTCCCCTCGCCCTCCCTTCAAAAAGACAACGTTTCAACACAACCAGCCTAATTTAGAAGCTTCCAGCGAGTGTACGTCTCCGATTCCTCAATTGTTTCTAACGTCCATATTGTTGACCCTTCAACTGCAGTCAAACCCATCAGTCACCATGCCTTCCATGCACGATCGCATCCGAGAGGACCTCCTCATCAAAGAGCGTGCTCTGTGGACGGCCTTGACCTCAGCAGACCCCGGACCGGCTATCGAGAAACTGTCCCACCAAGAAGTCAACATGATATTCCCTCAAGCACCTATCTTAACACTGGAGGGCGAGAACAAGATCAAGGACGCCGTCAAGCCACCCTTCCACCGATTCGATACCTACTCTCTGGATGAAGTGCGGGTAATAATCATCGATCTTATGGCGGGTACGGTTACATACAGGGTCACGGCTACCAGAGGAAACAAGACGTACCGTGCGAATGGCTCGACAACATGGCAGCAGGCTTCGGATGGAGAGTGGCGGATCATTTGTCACCAGGAGACAATGGTGTAACGTTTCGGTGTGAAGGGTTCCGGGGCAGCGGTCTCCATTTCTTATATATCTTTTGACGAGGTCATGCTTCCACGTTGTTATAATTGCTTGATACCGACAATATGAGCGATGTATGTTACAGTCGTGGTTTAATGGCTGGATGAGCTACGAATACTGATCTTACGACCGCCAATCATTATGGGCTGCGAGGTACGAATCTAGTTTTTTAAAAGGAGAGGAAAGATGAAACTAGCCAACAAAGAAAAAAAGGGAACTCCGGCCAGATTCGGTTTGCCATGAATCTAGCAGTAGAGGTGAGATGACAATCAATCTTTGTGATTGGAATAGCTCGAGAGATATATATAGTGGCTTGCTTCAGCCAATGTCGACCATTAAGCACAGTTATAATTTTATAGTATGTAGTAGAAGCAATGATGGCACGGTCTCTGTTCTATTACGTATTCAAAATAAATTTTATGCCCAAAGATCAAGTCTGTGCATTACCTTCTGTGGATGGACGTTACGTGAATTGGCAGTGATCAGACCGCCATGATGAATTGTGCAACCATCATTGCATAATAACTGCAGCTATTGCGCACAATTATAAATAAAAGACACCATTGCTTTACTATCTCCACAAAGTAAGGAGTAGCATCGCGCGCAGCCTGAAATGAATAGCAAAACCAAAAAAAGGAGACGACCCGGGATCGAACAGGGGAGCTTCAGATTTATTAATGAAGTTGACCTCATGATGCTCTTCCCCATGTTATGCCATAGGCATAAAATCTATGTCCTATGACTCAATTGGGCTAGGACCTTTTCGCGACCACGACTTCAGCAATGCAGCTACAGCGGGGCTTGCGCTGACCGATG